ACGGCTCGAAGAAGAGAATTATATATATAGATATTGTAGTAGCAATCACTAATTAAGTGGTATATTGTAGTAGCAATCACTAATTATGTGGTATATTGTAGTAGCAATCACTAATTAAGTGGTATATTGTAGTAGCAATCTCTAATTAAGTGGTATATTATAGTAGCAATCACTACTTAAGTGGTATATTGTAGTAAAGTTTTCCCTTTCAAACCTGACGGTCTATGGGGCAAGTGAAGTAGAGTTCGGTATATTGTAATAGCAATCACTAATTAAGTGGTATATTGTAGTAACAATCACTAATTATGTGGTATATTGTAGTAGCAATCACTAATTAAGTGGTATATTGTAGTAGCAATCACTAATTATGTGGTATATTGTAGTAGCAATCACTAATTAAGTGGTATATTGTAGTAGCAATCACTAATTATGTGGTATATTGTAGTAGCAATCACTAATTAAGTGGTATATTGTAGTAGCAATCACTAATTAAGTGGTATATTGTAGTAGCAATCACTAATTAAGTGGTATATTGTAGTAGCAATCACTAATTAGGCATTGATCAGGATTGAGCTTTGAGACCAGTTGGTTACCCTGATAAAAAACCTGTGAGTTACCCTGATAAAAAGTTACCGCTCCTGACTATACAATCATATTTAGAGTGGCTCCCGTTTTTGATAAATGCGTGTAGATTTACCGTACCACGGATTGAAAGACCCAGCACAGGGGCAGCGATTTGTATTGCCCATTTGTTGCCCGTTTGTTGTCCATTTGGTGCCCATTTGGTGCCTATTTGTTGCCCATTTGTTGCCCATTATAGTTTTAAAGCTAACCGTCATCGGCCGACTTGACGTCAACTATTGTTGACGGGCCTAATGTCAACTATTGTTGACGGACCTAATGTCAACTATTGTTGACGGACCTAATGTCAACTATTGTTGACGGCCGAGCTAATCGCTGCCCGTACGTCAGAGAGCCAAGCCTCGCCTGGGTGGGAGATGATATCGCACAAGTTGTTGTTGTAGGGGAGCTAATCTCGACAGTGGATAAAATATGGAAATACGAAAAACATGTTCCGGAAATGTGACGTAACTCGGTGACGTAGCCCCCGCGATACTTATCAAAACTCGTCAGTGTTCGCAGTGTAGTACTGATGTTCGCAGTGTGGCACTAATGTTCGCAGTGTGGCACTGATGTTCGCAGTATGGCACTGATGTTCGCAGTGTGGCACCGATGTATTCATGCTGGGAAACCGGCCGTCTATTTCAATATTGCAGTTCTAACGTTTGGTCACACGACTAATATGGCCGTCCAAAAATTTGTGGCCGTCCAAAATGAAAGCTGTTGAGAACAACTTAGCTACCAGATGACCGTTAAGTGAGTGGTCAATACTCAGTATCGTGACGTCATCGTTATCGACAGTCTCAGAGATCAAAGCATCCCCCTAGGTTCCAGGTTAAAGAAGTTTCCTGACGACATGTTTAACGAATCGTTCAATCAATATATGGCGTGGTGAGACTAGCCAATAATTAGGTTAATTACATGTACACTCAGGTCTGTGACGTCACCACGCTAAAGTAAAAAAAAAAAACTTTTCTATGTTTGGAGACATATACGACACACACCACCAGACTAGACACACAAGACACACCATCAGACCAGACACACAAGACACATTCATGACGTAGACACCTATATAAAAAAAGGTCAAAGGAACCTCTTCCTGCGCAAGAGGTCAAGACGACACGTGACGTCATCACATTTGATTTGTCGTGGGTGATCGACCATTGTGTTTTGTTGTCGTTATGTTTTTCTTTAATTAGTATTGAACTGGACTTTTGTTGTCGTTATGTTTTTCTTTAATTAGTATTGAACTGGACTTTGTACCGACCTACCTCAGCCGCCCCCACCCCCAACCCCCCCCCCCCCACTGCATAGTCCTATAGCTCCCCACCTCTGTCTCTTGTTGACCTGCTATTCTATCGACTACCACCACCCGCTCTCTCAGGATTTTAATTTGCCGTCTGCAGGTTGGGATTGTGGCAAAGGTATCACCAGGACAACTGTCTGTAGGACAACTACGACAACTAGGACAACTCTCTGTAGGACAACTCTGTGTAGGACAACTCTCTGTAGGACAACTAGGACAACTAGGACAACTCTCTGTAGGACAACTAGGACAACTCTCTGTAGGACAACTCTCTGTAGGACAACTAGGACAACTCTCTGTAGGACAACTCTCTGTAGGACAACTCTCTGTAGGACAACTCTCTGTAGGACAACTAGGACAACTCTCTGTAGGACAACTCTCTGTAGGACAACTCTCTGTAGGACAACTAGGACAACTCTCTGTAGGACAACTCTCTGTAGGACAACTAGGACAACTCTCTGTAGGACAACTAGGACAACTCTCTGTAGGACAACTCTCTGTAGGACAACTAGGACAACTCTCTGTAGGACAACTCTCTGTAGGACAACTAGGACAACTAGGACATTTCTCTATAGGATAACTAGGACAACTCTCTGTAGGACAACTCTCTGTAGGACAACTAGGACAACTCTCTGTAGGACAACTCTCTGTAGGACAACTAGGATAACTAGGACAACTCTCTGTAGGACAACTCTCTGTAGGACAACTAGGACAACTCTCTGTAGGACAACTCTGTGTAGGACAACTCTCTGTAGGACAACTAGGACAACTCTCTGTAGGACAACTAGGACAACTCTCTGTAGGACAACTCTCTGTAGGACAACTCTCTGTAGGACAACTAGGACAACTCTCTGTAGGACAACTCTGTGTAGGACAACTCTCTGTAGGACAACTAGGACAACTCTCTGTAGGACAACTAGGACAACTCTCTGTAGGACAACTCTCTGTAGGACAACTAGGACAACTCTCTGTAGGACAACTAGGACAACTCTCTGTAGGACAACTCTCTGTAGGACAACTAGGACAACTCTCTGTAGGACAACTCTCTGTAGGACAATTCTCTGTAGGACAACTAGGACAACTCTCTGTAGGACAACTCTCTGTAGGACAACTAGGACAACTAGGACAACTCTCTGTAGGACAACTCTGTGTAGGACAACTCTCTGTAGGACAACTAGGACAACTCTCTGTAGGACAACTCTCTGTAGGACAACTAAGACAACTAGGACAACTAGGACGACTATGACAACTCTCTGTAGGACATTTCTCTGTAGGACAACTAGGACAACTCTCTGTAGGACAACTAGGACAACTCTCTGTAGGACAACTCTCTGTAGGACAACTAGGACAACTCTCTGTAGGACAACAAGGACAACTCTCTGTAGGACAACTCTCTGTAGGACAACTCTCTGTAGGACAACTCTCTGTAGGACAACTCTCTGTACAACAATTCTCTGTAGGACAACTAGGACAACTCTCTGTAGGACAACTCTCTGTATGACAACTAGGACAACTAGGACAACTCTCTGTAGGACAACTAGGACAATTCTCTGTAGGACAACTAGGACAACTCTCTGTACACCTGTTTTCATGTTTTATAACTTAATGTGTGTGTGTTTGTTCGTGTGTTTGAGTGAGCGTGTGTGTGTACGTGTGTGTTTGTGTGTGTGGGATGGGGGGGTATCGAATTACATCTGAAGCATCCAGCGCCACAGAAACGTTGTATTGCATACACATTCCGTTACCATGGTTTCTAGAGGACTCTAGTCGCCATTTTGTGAGATGACAAGGTCGCTCCACTTTCGTGCAATGTCAAGGCCATCGAACACACAGTATGTAAACAAAGCTAGATGCCGGGTGATCGAAGAGACTGGAATTATAGGGCGAATTTCTGCGCTAATGTCTTTATCGTGGTTGTGTGACGTCACAATCGACAAATACCCGCGGTGTGCCTGGTTCAGCCGGTGCTTATAGTTCGTGGTCCGAATGTGTGTGTGTGGGTGGTGGGTGGGGGAGGGGTGTAAGGGTGGGGGGGTGGGTCCTTGGCTTATCATGACACCGCTCTATGCTTTTGTAAGTGGGCTGTGTGTTTGTATGTTTGTATGTTTGTATGTCTGTAAACATGTGGCAAGCTGAGTCGCATGAGCCAGATTGTATGACCTGCGAGTAAATATCGTGTTGGCGTCTTATAAAAGCAGTTTGTAGCATCTACGGTTGTTGCATCGATTGACTGCCTGTATTCCTCAATAAAACAATAGCTGGCTCGCGAGGCATTTGGTGGCTGTCTTGTGGTGGGTTGGCGAATACAAGGATGATCTAGGCTAGACAAGGATGATCTAGGCTAGGCAAGGATGATCTAGGCTAGACAAGGATGATCTAGGCTAGACAAGGATGATCTAGGCTAGACAAGGATGATCTAGGCTAGACAAGGATGATCTAGGCTAGACAAGGATGATCTAGGCTAGACAAGGATGATCTAGGCTAGACAAGGATGATCTAGGCTAGGCTTTGTCATGTCAAGTCGTGGTGCCCCTAGTGTCAGCTGTCATGTCAAGTCGTGGTGCCCCTAGTGTCAGCTGTCATGTCAAGTCGTGGTGCCCCTAGTGTCAGCTGTCATGTCAAGTCGTGGTGCCCCTAGTGTCAGCTGTCATGTCAAGTCGTGGTGCCCCTAGTGTCAGCTGTCATGTCAAGTCGTGGTGCCCCTAGTGTCAGCTGTCATGTCAAGTCGTGGTGCCCCTAGTGTCAGCTGTCATGTCAAGTCGTGGTGCCCCTAGTGTCAGCTGTCATGTCAAGTCGTGGTGCCCCTAGTGTCAGCTGTCATGTCAAGTCGTGGTGCCCCTAGTGTCAGCTGTCATCTATACATGACCCATCTACAGCATAGTGCCATTACTGTGACATAAGAAAAAATTGACCGGTCTATTATTTGTCATAGACCCGACCTTGACCTCAGCATGACAAGTGTCAGTCGATAGTCAGGTTTCAGTAGTACCATTGACACATGACATAGGGGTGGGAAGTTGACTCGTGAGGAGTGCATACATTATGTTAATTAGTTTAAATTTGTTCGCAGGCCAAAAGGAGGCGTGTCTCCCCCATCAAATCACCAGACAGACATAAAGGCAAGAGAGAGGACGCAATGCCACATTGGGGATACGATACAGAGAATGGTAAACACACCCACTCATACACACATACATACATACAGACACACCCACTCATACACACATACATACATACACACAGACACACCCACTCATACACAGATACATACACACAGACACACCCACTCATACACAGATACATACACACAGACACACCCACTCATACACAGATACATACACACAGACACACCCACTCATACACTCATACATACACACAGACACACCCACTCATACACACATACATACATACAGACACACCCACTCATACACACATACATACATACACACAGACACACCCACTCATACACAGATACATACACACAGACACACCCACTCATACACACATACATACACACACACGGCCAATCGAACCACACACATACACTTATTGACTTCTTATGTTCCACCCCATCACTCCCTCACCCGCCATTCTCCCACATTTCCCCCACCATTCCCCCACATTCCCCCACCATTCCCCCGCCATTCCCCCACCATTCTCCACCTATTCAACTATTGGACAAATGTCACATTGCCCGGGTCAGGATGACCTGTTAACGTCTGCTTCAACTAAACCTAATGGCAGCCGATGACCTCGTGACGTCACTACACTACCAACATGTAGGACAAATCAAAGTCCTCCCTGGCCCCTACAGTCCCTACCTGACTATACCAATCCCTACCTAACTGATCTCTATATTCCCTAGTTGACACCAGCAATCCCTAAATAACCCCAACAGTCCCTAATTGACCCCAACAGTCCCCATGTATCCCTACATATAACCAAATGATCTCCCAAATAGCACTAGATGATGACCCCCCATACATCACTAGAAGATGACCCCCCATACATCACTAGAAGATGACCCCCTCAATACATCACTAGAAGATGACCCTCCATACATCACATGGAAGATGACCCTCCATACATCACTAGAAGATGACCCCCCCCCATACATCACTTGAAGATGACCCCCCATACATCACTAGAAGATGACCCCCCCCCATACATCACTTGGAGATGAACCCCCCAATACATCACTAGAAGATGACCCCCCATACATCACTAGAAGATGACCCCCCATACATCACTAGAAGATGACCCTCCATACATCACTAGAAGATGACCCCCCCCAATACATCACTAGAAGATGACCCCCCCATACATCACTAGAAGATGACCCCCCATACATCACTAGAAGATGACCCCACCCCCCCCATACATCACTAGAAGATGACCCCCCCATACATCACTTGGAGATGACCCCCCCCCCCCCAATACATCACTAGAAGATGACCCCCCCCCCCAATACATCACTAGAAGATGACCCCCCATACATCACTAGAAGATGACCCCCCCATACATCACTAGAAGATGACCCCCCCATACATCACTAGAAGATGACCCCACCCCCCCCCCCATACATCACTAGAAGATGACACCCCCCATACATCACTAGAAGATGACCCTCCATACATCACTAGAAGATGACCCCCAATACATCACTAGAAGATGACCCCCCATACATCACTAGAAGATGACCCCCCCCATACATCACTAGAAGATGACCCCCCATACATCACTAGAAGATGACCCCCCCATACATCACTAGAAGATGACCCCCCATACATCACTAGAAGATGACCCCCCCCAATACATCACTTGAAGATGACCCCCCATACATCACTAAAAGATGACCCCCCATACATCACTAGCAGATGACCCCCCCAAACATCACTAGAAGATGACCCCCCCCCCATACATCACTAGAAGATGACCCCCCCATACATCACTAGAAGATGACCCCCCCATACATCACTAGAAGATGACCCCCCCCCCCCCCAATACATCACTAGATGATGACCCCTGTCTAACACAACTTTGTGGTTAGATGTGAACTAGGCCAACAATTGTGAATGTCGCTTCAATGTCGGGCCGAACATTGCACTGTTTGCCTGCTCCTCAATTACCGAGAGGGGGGGATAGGAGTGAAAAAAAAGGGGGGGGGGTACAATAATTAGCTGCAGCCAGCATTAATCAAACAACAGACTTGAGCTGGCTTAAGGTCACCTTCTAACTGAGTGCCCTGTCACTATTCGTCAATTTGACACGGCCATATGTACACCATAAATCTAAACCTAGCTTGTCTCCCCTCAACATAAACTTGGATTGTTCCCCTTTTTCTACCTGTAGAGTAGTTGTTTCCCTTCACTAGCAATCAAAGAAATGTACACACTCAGTGACCTTGACGTTCTAGCAACGACCTTCAGATCAACACCACACGGCACCGACCTTACCCCATGTCTCACTGGTGGGGTGGGGGGGGGGGAGGCGGTGTTGCTGGACGCCATGACAAGCCGACGATTGTTTGCACGTCCATTGTCTGGAACATTTCCTTGCCAGAGATTTTAAAAGGGTGGGGGGGAGGGGGCGTGTTGTGTTGTCAAAGCTAAAACAACCATTGCCTCCCCCCCCCCTGACACACATTCATTTCAGAATTTTCACCACACTACTTCTCACACACACAACTAAAACAACCTCTCTCACACAACCTCTCTCACACAACCTCTCACACAACCTCTCTCACACAACCTCTCTCACACCTCTCTCACACCTCTCACACAACCTCTCTCACACAACCTCTCTCACACAACCTCTCACACACAACCTCTCACACAACCTATCACATCTCTCACACAACCTCTAACACAACCTCTCTCACACAACCTCTCACACAACCTCTCACATCTCTCACACAACCTCTAACACAACATCTCTCACACAACCTCACACACAACCTCTCACACAACCTCTCACACAACCTCTCACACAACCTCTCACACAACCTCTCACACCTCGCACACAACCTCTCACACAACCTCTCTCACACAACCTCTCACACAACCTCTCACATCTCTCACACAACCTCTAACACAACCTCACACACAACCTCTCACACAACATCTCACACAACCTCTCACACAACCTCTCACACAACCTCTCACACCTCGCACACAACCTCTCACACAACCTCTCACACAACCTCTCACACAACCTCTCTCACACAACCTCTCACACACAACTAAAACAATCTCTCTCACACAACCTCTCTCGCACAACCTCTCTCACACCTCTCTCACACCTCTCACACAACCTCTCTCACACAACCTCTCTCACACAACCTCTCTCACACAACCTCTCACACAACCTCTAACACAACCTCACACTAAACCTCTCACACAACCTCTCACATCTCTCACACAACCTCTCTCACACAACCCCTCACACACAACCTCTCACACAACCTCTCACATCTCTCACACAACCTCTCTCACACAACCTCTCTCACACAACCTCTCACACAACCTCTCACAGAACCTCTCACACAACCTCTCACACCTCGCACACAACCTCTCACACAACCTCTCACACAACCTCTCACACAACCTCTCACACAACCTCTCTCACAACCTCTCTCAAACAACCTCTCACACAACCTCTAACACAACCTCACACACAACCTCTCACACAACCTCTCACATCTCTCACACAACCTCTCTCACACAACCTCTCACACAACCTCTAACACAACCTCACACACAACCTCTCACACAACCTCTCACATCTCTCACACAACCTCTCTCCCACAACCTCTCAAACACAACCTCTCACACAACCTCTCACATCTCTCACACAACCTCTCACACAACCTCTCACACAACCTCTCACACACAACTAAAACAACCTCTCTCACACAACCTCTCTCACACCTCTCACACAACCTCTCACACAACCTCTCACAGAACCTCTCACACAACCTCTCACACCTCGCACACAACCTCTCACACAACCTCTCACACAACCTCTCACACAACCTCTCACACAACCTCTCTCACACCTCTCTCACACCTCTCACACAACCTCTCTCACACAACCTCTCTCACACAACCTCTCACACAACCTCTAACACAACCTCACACACAACCTCTCACACAACCTCTCACATCTCTCACACAACCTCTCTCACACAACCTCTCACACAACCTCTCACATCTCTCACACAACCTCTCACACAACCTCTCACACAACCTCTCACACACAACTAAAACAACCTCTCTCACACAACCTCTCTCACACCTCTCATACAACCTCTCACACAACCTCTCACAGAACCTCTCACACAACCTCTCACACCTCGCACACAACCTCTCACACAACCTCTCACAGAACCTCTCACACAACCTCTCACACAACCTCTCTCACACGTCTCTCACACAACCTCTCTCACACGTCTCTCACACCTCTCACACAACCTCTCACACAACCTCTCACACAACCTCTCACACAACCTCTCACACAACCTCTCACACAACCTCTAACACACAACTAAAACAACCTCTCTCACACAACCTCTCACACCTCTCACACAACCTCTCACAACTCTCACACAACCTCTCTCACACAACCTCTCACACAACCTCTCACAGAACCTCTCACACAACCTCTCACACAACCTCTCTCACACGTCTCTCACACAACCTCTCACACCTCTCACAAAACCTCTCACACCTCTCACACAACCTCTCACACCTCGCACACAACCTCTCACACAACCTCTCTCACACGTCTCTCACACAACCTCTCTCACACGTCTCTCACACCTCTCACACAACCTCTCACACAACCTCTCACACAACCTCTCACACAACCTCTCTCACACCTCTCTCACACAACCTCTCTCACACAACCTCTCACACAACCTCTCACACAACCTCTCACACAACCTCTCACACACCTCTCTCACAACCTCTCACACAACCTCTCACAGAACCTCTCACACAATCTCTCACACAACCTCTCACACAACCTCTCACAGAACCTCTCACACAATCTCTCACACACCTCTCTCACAACCTCTCACACAACCTCTCACAGAACCTCTCACACAATCTCTCACACAACCTCTCACACAACCTCTCACACAACCTCTCACATACAACTGAAACGA